CTTGCAGTTGGGACACCAATCACAGGGGTCCTTGACTGGTGCATACAAGCAGCGCGCTCTGCACAAATTCCTCGGAATTCTGAAGGTCTTCTCCAAAAAGGTTCCAAGGGCGCAGTGGATTGCCGACCTTGCTCCATGTCTTTTGCCATGTCTGTAATCTGTGGGACAACGTCGAAAACTCTGTTCGTGCTTAGTTTGACTCTGCAGTGGGCAGCTACCGCGATTGCAAAGCCACATGCCACGATACACGATCACCTTCGACAACCTGCCTAGACACAGACGCACTTGACTTGCTGGTACCTCCGTTCCTCGAGCCGCTCAAACAATGCAGCATTGACTACCATGGAAAACAGCTCAGGACGAAAAGCGCACAGATCTGAAAGAACATGCTGAGCGCGGCTACCCAAATTCGCACAAAGACAAGCCACTCGATACATGAGATCTTCGGAGGCAAGGAGGCGAACTTGCGGCAGGACTACGACCTGTGCAAGAGGTAATGAGAGACGCCTCGGGGCTTGGCGGGCTTTACAAACTAATGCTTCGTTGGGGCTGCAAGCTTGGCTGCCGCGAATCCACATTTGGAGATACCAGTTGCAGATGCGATTTCCATGGAGCCCGATCATGCGTTGACAGTGCATGCATTTTAGTCTAATACCTGCTGGATCTTTATCATCCATGTCAGCGGATGTGTGGGCTGTCAATGATTCTCAACCATGAATCGGGAAGGTTGAGGGCGCCACCATGTAAGCACCGATGTGAAGTCTCAGGACAGTCGCCGGACCAAACGGATTCAAGCAGGTCCCAAGACTAACCTTATGCAAGTACACACTCCTCCATTCTCCTCCGACACCCGAGAATCCAGACACCAGGCCTCCCCCTAAACCCTAAACCCTAAACCCATTACAATACCTGTAAACCTGAACTCTGAAAGTGTCGACCCTGGGCAGTCAGAGCTGGGTCGCACGCTGTCCACCATGCTCCGCCGATGAGCCTGCCCGACAGGGATTTAGATTGCTTTGTGGCAAACACCATCAAGCACCTATAGATTAAACAAATGTAAACAAGAGCTTGCATAAAGAGCTTCAGGGACGCAAATGGACAATTTTGGTCCGACTGCTCATAAAAAAAGTTAGTTAGAAGGTTGAGAGATTCTTAGACGCGCGTCGTTCGCATTGACAATACAGGACACCCCCTGATCACAGTCCTGAGTGCTCACTTCGCTGTACTCGGTCATATACCATCAGCATGACAGCAAGAGGACCAATACAAACAGCAATTCAGGGTAGATATGCAGAAGAGGTACAGTAGAAGCCGGCACTTAGATTTGTGTTTTGGTGGTCTAAGGTCACCACAAGCTACCATCATTTTCAAGCTTTCAGAGCCATCGGGAAAACCCACTACCACGGCACAGTTTGTCGGAACATCTTTTCTCCCAATCCAAGTATTCTGCGAAACTTTTGGAATTACATTCCGGAACATACTTTTGCAAGGCCTTTGGTCGGAGACTTGTAGTACAACTGAAGCTCAATCGTCGGCTCCCCATGGAGCGTCAGATAGCGGGGATCGGGCTCGCCGACTTGAAAAAATCGCGTCTAGAGATGAAAAACCGAGATATTATCTCCGGCTCCGGGGGGTCGGTTTTGACATGCCGGCGCGCATTTTGGCATGTCTGCATGTGTTTTTTTTGCGAGGTTTGTGCAGCATCGGCGCGCCTTTTTGCATGTCTGCGGCAGCCAAGTTATGCTGCGTCAGCGTACAGTATCCTTTTGGGTTGCATGTCGGCGCGTATTTTTGGAATGTCGGCGGGTTCTTTTTCACATGAATCACTTTCCCCTCTGGGTCCTTCCTCCTGAATTCCTTGAGCTCCTCACGGGAACCTCTGTTCTATTTAACTCGGTTTTCGCGTGCTTTTCCATCTCGGGCCGTTTTAATGTTGGCATGTCGGTCCTTTGGTTTCATATCGGCACGTTGTTTTCTCGCATGCACGTCGGCACATGATTTGGCATGTCGACGTGAAATTTTGGCATCTCGGCGGAAACCCTTTTTCTGGCATGCCGGCACGTAACTTTGGCATGTCGGCGGAAACCTTATTTTTTGCAGGTCGGCGCGGCTTGTTCTGCATGTCGGCGGAAATCTAGCTTTGACATATCACGTCGGCGCGTGTTTTGAAATGTCGCTGCATGGCGTGCCTCGCTTCTGCGACCCGGCAGCAAAAACTCAGCAGAAGTGCGCTTGCTCCTGATCTGGACCTCTCAGTCAAAGACAGAAGCGGAAACTGCAAAGTATCGAAAGCAACGGTGCGTACAGTGGTGATTGCAGAACGGCGTTTGCAACTTCTCCTTCCTGCACACTCCCTCTTCTTTCATGTTGTAGATCGATGGACAACGGTTCGCATGTCTTTAAACATTCTTTCGAACTACCAACATTCGTCGAACCAATAAATGGAAGTCGTCCTGGCATTTGTGCAGTGGCAGTTGCGGAGCGACCGTCGTAGCTATAGTGAGGATGTAGCCGTTGTCGTAGTGGTAGTGAGAAGAAGTGGTGGTAGTAGTAGGGTAGCAGTAGCAGTAGCAGCAGCAGCAGCAGCAGCAATCGTAGCAGTCGTCGTCGTCGAAGTCGTAAGTAGTAAGCAGTAGCGGTAGCAGTAGTAGTAGCAACAGGAGTAGTAGTCGTAGTAGTAGTAGTAGTAGTAGCAGCAGTAGTAGTAGCAGTAGCAGTAGTAGTAGCAGTAGCAGTAGCAGTAAGTAACAGTGCATTGAAGTGGCAGTGGCAATAGCAGCAGCAGCAGCTGCAGTAATAGCTGCCACAGCACGAATATCAGCAGCAGGCAGCCGCATAATTGTTGTTGTTAGCAGTCATGCAGACAGGAGGGCAACCCTTCTCGATGACTATGCCTCACCATGGGTGCGCCAAGACTTTGCACAGCACCAGCGCATGGCAAAGGCGCGGTACGGGCTCGTGTTTGTTACTTACTAAAACTGTGTCGCTGGTCTGCTATCATCAGGGCTGGGGGCGCTCGAGGTGCGAGGGATCATGGGGCTGAGCATGCGGTTGGGGCCGGCGTTCATGCGGGGAATGTCTTGATTGCTTCTGTGACTTCAGGGGCTTTAGCACCAGGAAGAAGCTGGGCGGGCACTACAGGGAACTTGGGGACTCAACTGAGCGCGGGGGTTGTTGGGTGGTGGGGTGAAATGAAAACCAAGTGTACCGGGTACGATTACAGTGAAGTACATGGCGCCTCATGAGATGTAGATTGGGACAGGCTCATCTAAGCGGTACAGCTTCTCACACAAGACAGCTTGAGCCAGGCCAAGAACGCGTTCTCGACTTCCATCCGGCATAGGTGATACTCCACATCATTCGGGGTGGTCCACGGCTTTGTGCAATCGTTGCACAACGGACCTTGCGAATGTCCCTGCAACGTAACGCATTACAGAGAAACCAACACGACTCCGTACCCGCACGGTCCTTCTTGCCCTTCTTGCCCATAAATCTTTCAGGCCCCCTTATAGGTGCCAATTGAAGGCTCCCCCGCTAAACCCTTTCCCCACGCCGGACGCACCGGCATGGGGAGAAGGGAGTCCGCGAGGCCTCCCCAATCGCGCTGAACCTATCAGAATCAAACCTAGCATGAAACGCCGTAGCCAAAGGGAGACTGACTAGGACTGAACTGCCCAACGTGCCGTAGCCAGTGCACATGGTGAAAAGATTCACAGTGCACGGACAATATCCATCCCTTAACCCTGAAATCTTTTTGACTAAGACATGTTCGGACCATCACCTGAAAGCAGCTCCACGCATCATGTAAAACCGTGCATGCACACTAGCATGGGATCCAATGCATCAAAAAGCCAAAGTCAGAATGCCCGAACACACGTCGCGCCGCAAGGGCTTTTTCCATCACGAGAACAGATGGGGCTCCTCTGGAAGGCCTTCTCTCCAAGATTCTACAAAGATTCCCAGCGGTCTCACACGACAAGTCTCGGGCTATAGGGCTTCGGTGAAAACTTGGGCGAGGATCAGGGATGCGTTGTCTCCAGGCTTGCCACAATTTAACAGGGTTCGACAATGTTCGGAGGGCTGTTTGGTTTGTCATTTCTTGGCACTGTCGAGGCCTTCCCACTCCCCTCATGGAACAGGTGACGCTGAACGCTAAATCTCCGCAGTGCCGTGAAGCTTGTGCCCCAGCACGGGCCAGCGATTGCTGTGCAAGGACGAAGGAGCACGCGTGCGAAAGATCTGAAGGCTGCCTGTGGCGTGCACACACAGGTTGAACCTGTACAGGACACGAAAAACAAATGTTGGAGGAGGACTCAAATCAACCTCTCAACCGATAGCTAGAAGCCCTGCAATCTGCCTTCACTCTGCTTCGCCAGATAACGACTAAGGTGTCGATCCCTAATCCGAAGATGTTACAACATAGTGCCAGCTTGAAGTTTCACAGAACAACTGCACGAGTATCCGAGTGCGGCAGCTAGAGGGGCCCTGCCAATGGACTGCCAGGAAACCCGAGAAGCTTCAAGGAGCCAAAGACTATTCAGAAAAGGTGAGATCAAGCGTTCTGGATTGACGGGGTCTTTCCTTCATGGGGCTTCGAACTTGGCAAAAGGGCCAACACTTTGGGACTAGGCCCCACACTGCGGGAAGGCGTTCGCTGTTCGGCTGTCCGATTTTCCGTGCCTTTGGGGCCGAGGCGGGTTGAAAGATGGGCTTCTTCCGACTATTGTCAACGGATGCAGTTTCCGCTGGTCGGATTTCGGGATCCATCAGTGTCCAGCATGGAGACTTCATTCTGCCTCTGGGCGGCAGCGCCACTTTGCCAGAGTCATGTATCCAAGAAGTCAGCTGCAGAAGGGATCTCGGAGGTGTGGGGACCTGCACGCCTAGCTGCAGAAGGCTTGGGAATTGGGCCTTCTTGTGCAAGCCCGTTGGGCCCTTTTCTCTGCAGATGCCTCTCGCAAACTGCTTGCAAATAATGAAACTCAGAAACATTCTCAGCCTCAGATGCCTTGACGAAATCGCTTGGGGCGTCGACTCCTGCACCAGGCAACAGGCCGACGCACTTTCAGCCCGACTCGAACCGAGCTCTGCCAGATCGTCTCAGGACTTCGCGGCTCAACGCGAAGGGCCGCTTCCGCTAAGAAGGCAAGGGAGGTCTAGACTGCAAGGGTTTGGGCTTAAGCCCGCAAAAACCGCAGCTGGCGGCCTGTGCTTCGGTCACTCGAAGAGCATTGGAGTCACGGTCTCCGCAAGGACAAATCCGAAACTTCAACAGCCAGAAGCTTACGAACATATCCTCTGAAGTATGCATTCGGGCGCATGTCCATGTCAAAGGTTCAGCATTCGAAGATGCTGGTACAAACCTTAAGCTTGAGGTCGACACAGAGGGGGGCATCAGCGACATGATGAACGCTGTAATCTCCCGGACCGAACGAACACGGTGTCCAATCGCTCAAGACTGTGAGACAAGAAAGGTGTCCCACGAAACGTGGCCTGTTTTCCGCAATGGCGGCGTAGATGCCATGCAGTTGGGCCACCAACTTCTCGTAGAACATGAACCTTTTTTAGTTTTGGCAGGCCATTGATGTTGGCTCAACGCGCGTGCAAAGGCGGCCCGTGAAAATCCAAACCAGTCAAAGGTTAACATTTATCGACGGTTACTCTCAAGTGTTCCCAGGGCCGATCCTGAACACTCAACTTCGAGCACATAGGTGTCAACACCAATGCTCCCTGCTCTTGACAGCGACATGCCTCCACCTGCCTTCGCCCCCAAGCCAATGTGCAAAGCCCTAAACTCGCCTTGAAGCCACACTCCAAACCAAGTCCTACACCCAAAGCCTCACATCTTTGTGCTAAACCTGAACTCCTCAACCCTACTCCAGCACTCTCAAAGCGCAGACGAGGATGCATCAGTGCCGAGTTGAGCACGGTCCTGGCTGCAACCGAAGAAGTTTTGTTTGGCTCAAGCCCACATGCGCTGACAGTAGAACAGTACTCCTTGTTGTTTAAAGGCTTCCACTAGGACTTTCAAAACACGTCTGATCAAGCCTGAGAGGTCTAAAAATCCGAAACCCTCACCCACTGGCTATCCAGGCCAAGGGTCTGCAGGAGTTTCGCCTCAATGCCAGCATACAGGGCTGCGAAGCCTCAAGAAGGATTTCTAGCTCAGGCTTTGCGGGGCAGTGGCACGGACGCTTCGACTCGAGTGCTGCTCCAATAGGATTTGGAGAAGATGGATGGGAAAGTCAGCGTCAGAAGATTCATAGACGCCTACGCACAAATGCTAACCCACAGAGGGCCTGAGATTCGGAAGTCAGTCAACACATTCCTCGCCAGCACTCGAAGCTGCTCGGGAATCTCTCGAAAAATACATTACAGGTGTTCGACAAGCAGGATCTTAGCCGAGAGTGTTGAAGATCTGCTAGTGCCTACAACCACGAACATTCTGCGCCACAAGCCTTGGGAACTAAAGTGGCAGAAGATTCAACCAAACAATGAAGCTCACTTATGTCCCGCACGATGCCGAAGTCGCCCTGCCGAGCTCAAGGCAACTCAAAACTCTAAGCTAGCATTAAATGTGATATTAAATTCAAAACATTGAGCTATAGACTATATGGTCTCCCGCATTATTTTCCATTGTATGTTCTGCTAGACATGTAGCTACGGGTACTTCTCATATACTCAAAATACATTATGCTACATCTTTGGAACATTTGCCGACAGGTCCCAAGTCTTAAGAGCGGCACGGTCGCTCAACTCAAGGCTCATAGAGCACCTTTTCTCAAAAATGGCTCATCAAGCAATCCTCCAACAACTACAAGTCTGCTAGCCCATCACTTTCTTCTACACGGCAAAGAAGCCGCTCATGACCACCACTTCGATGAGGCAGTCGAAGATGCCCGTCTCCTGGCGTCGCCGGGCTGATGTTTCTTTCGGTGGCTGTATGTCTCCAGGACTCCGTTCACACGCGCTCGACATCCAGTAGCATTTAGAGATATGAGATTTCTTGGAAAAACTCGCGAAACGGAGCCCAGCGACAGCCACCCCCGGTGTTCGTCGATGCACTCGCTGTCGTGTCCTCAGCTGGCGGTTTCAGGACTACTGTCCGGGCCCGGATTCTCCAATCGCGCTGCCACTGTTCGAGTTCCACACAAGTAATTATCTCTTCGGGACACATGCATGAGGTCGGGTGAGAATGCCAGGTGTCTGAGCAACTTGGAACGGGTAAGTTGCGCAGGTAGCCACGGACTTCGCGATTGCGCCGGCAATGAAGGCATTGGACGCGGAAATCTCTGCCTCTCTTTGGAAGAAGTTCCGCTTCAACAGGTCGTAGATGACAAACCTGGGAGCTCGAGTTCGAGAGACTTTTATATTATTCCGGCGGTAGAATGCCAAATAATTAAAGACTACACGTTGCCTGTTCCAGGCCTTGTGGTAAAGCATGATTGAAGCACTGCTACCATGACCACAACTACCGGTGCGACTGCGACTGCTACGGCTGTTGCTGGCAGCAGTAGTCGTCGTCGTAGTCGTAACAGCAGCAGCAGCAGCAGTCGCGTCGCCGACGCCGTCGTCTTAGTCGCCCTACCAGTGGCATTTGTAGTGGTTGTGGTTTTGATAGTGGCAGCGGTAGTAGAAGTAGCAGTCGTCGTCGTCGTCGTGGGTAGTAGTAGCAGCAGCACTACCAGTGCGACGAGTACCTACTGACTGGTACTGGTACGAGCACTCGCACTGGGTGCGAGCACTAAGCTAGCACCTGCACGCATGCTACCCCCTGCTCCTGCTCCTACTCCTGCTGCTGCTCCTGCAAGTACATGGCTTGCTGGCTTACTGTTTTTTCCCCACCCCTCTGTTGACTCCAATTATGCTGACAGGTTGCTGAATGGCAGGGTTGGCGACCTCAGCTCCCAGGGCAAAAACAAGTTGTGTTTTTTCTGGGAGGCAGGCCAGTCCAGAGTTCATGTTCTTGGGTCCTTTACGGCATGCCAAATTGTAGTTTGGGAGGGTTTGAGCTTGAGGTTCCGATCGAGGATGCTGTGCGTTCTGCCGCACTTAAGCAGCGAAGCCGGTACGGCACTGCACTCTGCTCTCTTGTCTCTAAACGACAAGCCCCCAAAAGCCCAGGCCAAGCAAGCCACTTCCTACTGACACAGAACAAGTGCCGGCGGCAGTGGGCCCCGTGATTCTTCGAGTGGCCAGCAGCATCGACGAGGCCATACCGCTCCAGAGGGCCCCGAAGCCCTCTTGGACGAGGATGAAGCCCACCCTCATCTCCAGGTCTTATTATTCGTTTGCAGCTTTAGGCTTTGTGGTTTCTGGGTTCTAGGGATTAGGGACTCGCGGACGTCGCGGGCTTGCATAGAGCCAGAACTCCTACGGTGCCTTGCAGGGTTGGAGCATAGGCTGCTGCGGTTTGGGGCCGCTCCAACCTTCACTGGAACTTGGATGCTTCAGCGCTGGGGATCTAAACGCGGAGAATCACAAGGCTTCGCGGGCTTCGCGTCTTGAAGTTTCTCGCCTGGATTTCATGCACTACGAGCTGCCTGTGCTCCCCTGCTACATGGTGGCTTTCTCCCGCTCATAGAGTAAAAGGCAGGCCTGCGAACCGCAACCTCGGAGCTAGAACTACTGCCAGACTCCACAACTGGCACTGAGGTTGCGGTTAGGTTTTGCACTGCATCGCTATTCTGACAGGTCAAAGAAAAATGAGGAGAAAGCCTTCCTCAGCACTGACCTTTGTATATATCCTTTGTGAACCATAAACCCTATCCAAAACCGACATCCTGCACTCCAGCCACTCATGCAACTGCCAAAGCCGAGGTACTCTTGCCAGAGGCCATCGCCAGTGGCACGCCCGATCTTCAGCCGCGTGGTGGCCTTCGTGGATAGGTCTTAAATTCTAATGAGTGATGACGACTTGTAGCGACATTCGAAGGGCAACAAAAAAAACACAGTGGTTACAAACATAAAAGTGGCCATGGTCATCGTCGTTATCGTCACAATCACGACCATGGTCTGAAATCTTGCGCACCGTCGACTCTTGTGCGATGCTGGCATCGAAACGCCACCGGGTCATGCTAAGGCCCTGACTACCCAGAGGGGAGTGCTCAGCGCCACCTGCATCACAGCCGTGTCATTGCTCCAACGGCAACGCACATCCGGGATCCCGATGCAATGCAGGAGTCAGGCATCTATTTTTTGACACTCACACTCGGACAAGCCTGGCAAGGTCTGTAGCGATATTGGTCTCAGAAGCAAAGGGCTGTACCTAGAAACAAAGGAATCTATTCCTGCCTGCGCGGCACGGGGAGCTACAATAGCAACGACCAATATTCGGCTAGTCAACCACAAGTGACTGACACCAAAAGATACTACTGCATGTGCCACGACGGCCTCACGATTTAGACAAAAAATTACCAGTTCCGGTTTGACGAAAAAGCTGAAAGCCGAGGCACTCCCAGCATGCCTGCCAGGCTCGCAGACACCAAGTCCTCTCCCACATCGCTCTCTTTCAGGCTAGGGCATCCCTTTGGGCAATAGATCAACGACTCCCAGATGGTACCGCAACTGGAGAGCTCAATCAAAACATTTCCGGTCATCCAGCTCAGCCCAATCTGACCTCCTGCAAACCAACCCATCCAAGTACCTAGGTCCACCAAGAACTTAATAACTAGGAGCTCCACTTGAGGTGAAGGAGTTCTGGTGGAGCGGATGGAATTTCTAGGCGAATCGGGGAAATGGTCAGATTCCGAACCCTGTTGCATGCTGCTCCCGGGTGTCTTCTTCTAGCATTAGGTCCCTGGAAACCCAGAAGCAGGCTTCATGCTTGAAAAGCTGTCAGCCCTTGCGGGCTTCTCAGGGCTGGCAGCCGCATTATGTATATTCTAGCAATGGTTCGCGACAATTCCGAGCAGCTTAAGTAAAAAAGCTTGACTCTATTTTGCGGACATGGCCCCCCCACTCAATACAGTCCGCCACGCTCGGCGGCAGCTGCCGCGACCGGAAGCGGGGCTTCATGTAGGTGTATGCGCCTGATTGTGTTGCATGCATGCATGCGCACATACATATACATACATATACATATACATGTACATATACATATACATATACCCATACACATACA